AATCGATGAATTAAATAAAAGAGATACAAGGTTCCTATTGGATTAGTATTGTGATGAGGATATAATCATCGTTGTAATAGTAGCAAGAGTATAAATGTTGAATGATTGAACTGTTGGTGCTGTCAGATGTTCCGAACGATCGTGATAGCGCTGAGAAAACAGAAGACGGTCGAGAGGAGGAGAACGAAGGGAATGAAGAGGAGAGAAAGCGGAAAGAAATGTTGCAACGGATGAGGACAGCCTTCATAGTATCGTTAGGCATTCTTGTGGCAGTTTTGCTTTTCGGTCCAAGCGGAGACCTACCTCCCGGTGTGGTTTCTACGACTTGGAGTGATTTTACAACGAGGCTTTTACCGACCGGACAGGTGCCTTCAATTTCTGTTTTATTTTCATTAAGTTTTGTCAATATTGACTTTAATGTAAGCATTGTAATCTTTAAAATTCTTGTCGTTTATATTATTGTGAATCGATTGTCTCGGTAATCGATCCTGTCTTTTTAGATTTGGAAAATTGTCGTTTTTCCGGAACGTGAAGTCGCCTTCGTTTATATGTATTCTGGTGCAAAGACATCGAACGGTGAAAATGTAAGTGGTATCATCTTCTAAACGTATGCAACCAATTTGATTTAATTTGTTTCTGGTTTTGATCCAGGTACTTTCCTAAATCAATTCTTATTCAGCCTCATATAATGTATATTTCATTTCATCGTCTTCATTTTGTGATGATGAATTTCAGTTGCAACAAATCTATCGCATTCAAATACCGAGCGTTCGTCGTTTTGAGAGCGAGGTTCGAGCTGCCGAAGCGGCCATCAACCTTCCACCCGAACACTGGACACAAATCGAATACAAACGACTCGAGGGCGTGTAAGTTTCCGAATGTTCTGTTATCATCATCATCANATAAAATTCAGTCATTCCTTATTTTAACTTTAAGAATTCATCATGAGAATGGGAACTGAATCGTTTGCTGTTTTGTTTATGTGCTTCTTTTTTCTTTTTGGTTCAGATTCCCTAATGTCATTTTATTTTAAGTAATTCCGTGTTGACATTACTGTTGATTGGTGCAATCGCTGTTGGTGCATACTTTTTATTCAAGCGAGTGAAAATATCTTTCAATATAACCGATATGATGGTATGTGATTTTTGTGGATATGAGTTTTGGTTTATTTTCACTGAACTTAATTAACGGTAATAATGCAATTGAGAGTTATGGTGATAATAATGATAATATCGAGTAGTATGTTTCAGTCGTCAATGACAAAAACGAAACTGAACATAATCGATCCGCACAGTAAAGGGGGTAAGTTGAAGATAAAATTCAAAGATGTGGCTGGTCTTCATGAAGCCAAATTGGAAGTGAGCGAATTCGTGGACTACCTCAAAAATCCAACCAAATATACAGTGAGCGTTTGTTTGTATTGGCCCATTTTGAATAGTTTTTTTCAGATTCTTCATCGCGACTGTTAAGCATTACCGTGGAGGTTTATTTAGAATCTGTAGCAAACGGAGGACATAATTTGAAGATGTTTCCGTTTAGCAAATGTTTCACATATTTAGTGCTGAGGAGAAGTTTTTATTGTTTTGTTTACTGAAAGTAAGTAGCTGTGTTTTGATTTAGAAACTTGGTGCGAAATTACCGAAAGGCGCACTCTTGACTGGTCCTCCGGGCTGCGGTAAGACGCTGTTGGCGAAAGCGCTTGCGGCCGAATCATCAGCACCGT